AACCCAATTGGACTCCGAAAGGGTATTAGGGATCATGGTAAAAATTTCGGCTATTTTTAATTCCGGGAGGAAAAAAGTCAAAAAATTCCGAAACTGAAGACTAATATCCACGCTTTTTGAGAAATTTTGGGGTTCGGTTCGAAAAGTCTTGAAATTCTAGGGAATACATATCTGGGTCATATAATGTAGTTTGTAACCATATATGATCATTTTTTGTTGTCATAAATGTTCTTTGTAAGCTTGAGTTAATAAAATCGGTGCAAGTTGTAACCGGTAAATTGGTCATTTAAAGGAAAATTGGATGGTTCCACCCACACAACTAGACGTCCAGAGGGTATTAGCGACCACAGTAAACATTTCGGCAATTTTTATTTCGGGCAAAAAAAGTCAAAAAATTCCAAAATTGAAGTCTAATATCCACGATTTTTGAGAAATTTTGGAGGTGTTGGGGCCTGGTGTAGAAATGTCTTGATATTTTAGGGGACACATCTCTTGGTCAGATAATGCCGTTTAGAACCGTATATGATCATTATTTGTTGTCATAAATGTTCGTAGTATTGTTGAGTTATTGAAATCCGTGCAAGTTGTAAACCGATAAATTGGTCATTTAAAGGCAAATTGGATGGTTCCACCAACCCAATTGGAATCCCAATGGGTATTAGGTACCATGGTAAACATTTTGGCAATTTTTAATTCAAGACGAATAAAAGTAAAAAAATTCAAAAAATGAAGACTATCCACGCTTTTTGAGAAATTTTTGAGATTTCAGGGTCCGTTGTTGAAAAGTCCTGAAATTCTAAGGAATACATCTCTGAGTCATATAATGTCGTTTAGAACCATATATGATCATTTTTTGGTGTCATAAATGTTCGTTGAGGCTTGAGATAATGAAATCGGTGCAAGTTGTAAACCGGTAAATTGGTCGTTAAAATGAAAATTGGATGGTTCCACACACAAATTTGGACTTCCAGAGGGTATTAGGGACCATAGTAAACATTTAGGCTATTTTTAATTCCGGGAGAAAAAAAGTCAAAAAGTTCCATAAATGAAGACTAATATCCACGCTTTTTGAGAAATTTTGGGGTTTTTGGGGTTCGGTGTCGAAAAGTCCTGAAATTCGAGGGAATTCATCTCTCGGTCATATAATGTCGTTTGAAACCATATATGATCATTGTTTGTTGTCATAAATGTTCGTGGTAGGCTTGAGTCAATGAAATCGGTGCAAGTTGTTATCCTGTAAATTGGTCGTTTAAAGGCAAATTGGATGGTTCCACCCACACAATTGAACTTCTAGAGGGTATTAGGGACCACATTAAACATTTCGGAAATTATTTTTTTGGGCAAAAAAAAGTCAAAAAATTCCAAAACTGAAAGCTAATATCCACGCTTTTTGAGAAATTTTGGATATGCCGAGGCCCGGTGTAAAAAAGTCTTGATATTTTAGGGGATATATCTCGGGGTCATATAATGCCGTTTCAAACCATATATGATCATTATTTATTGTCATAAATGTTCGTAGTAGGCTTGAGTTATTGAAATCCTTGCAAGTTGTAAACCGATAAATTGGTCGTTTAAAAGCAAATTGGATGGTTCCACCAACCCAATTGGACTCTGAAAGGGTATTAGGGACCAAGGCAAACATTTCGGCTATTTTTAATTCCAAGAGAAAAAAAAGTCAAAAAATTCCAAAACTAAAGAGTAATATCCACGTTTTTGAGAAATTTTGGTGATTTGGGGGTTCGGTTCGAAAAGTCCTGAAATTCTAGGGAATACATATCTGGGTCATATAATGTCGTTTGGAACCATATATGAACATTTTTTGTTGTCATAAATGTTCGTGGTAGGCTTGAGTTAATGAAATCGGTGCAAGTTGTAAACCGGTAAATTGGTCGTTTAAAGACAAATTGGATGGTTCCACCAACCCAATTGGACTCCCAATAGGTATTAGGGACCATGGTAAACATTTCGGCAATTTTTATTTCCGGGAGAAAAAAAGTCAAAAAATTCCAAAAACGAAGACTAATATCCACGGTTTTTGAGAAATTTTTGAGATTTCAGGGTCCGGTGTCGAAATTCGAACAGTCCTGAAATTCTAGGGAATGCATCTCTTGGTCATATAATGTCGTTTGGAACCATATATGATCATTTTTTGGTGTCATAAATGTTCGTGGAGGCTTGAGATAATGAAATCGGTGCAAGTTGTAAACCGGTAAATTGGTCGTTAAAAGGAAAATTGTATGGTTCCACACACACATTTGGACTTCCAGAGGATATTAGGGACCACAGTAAATATTTCGGCAATTTTTATTACCAGAGGATATTAGGGACCACAGTGAAAATTTTGAAAGTGTCGGGGCCTGGTGTAGAAAAGTCTTGTTATTTTAGGGGATATATCTTGGGTCATATAATGCCGTTTCGAACCATATATGATCATTATTTGTTGTCATAAATGTTCGTAGTAGGCTTGAGTTATTGAAATCCGTGCAAGTTGTAAACCGATAAATTGGCCGTTTAAAAGCAAATTGGATGGTTCCACCAACCCAATTGGACTCCCAAAGGATATTAGGGACCATTGTAAACATTTGGGCAATTTTTAATTAATGGAGAAAAAAAAATTCCAAAAATGAAAACTAATATCTACGTTTTTTGAGAAATTTCTGTGATGTCGGGGTTCAGTGTCGAAAAGTTATGAAATTCGAGGGAATTTGGATGGTTCTATCCATCCACTTGGACTTAATGAAATTGGTGCAGGTTGTAAACCGGTAAATTGGTTGTTTAAAGGCAAATTGGATGGTTCTACCCAACCAATAGGACTCCCGGAGGGTATTAGGGACCATGGTTAACATTTCGGCAATTTTTATCTCCGAGTGAAAAAAAGTCAAAAAAATGCCAAAATTAAAGGCTAATATCCACACTTTTTTAGAAAATTTGGAGGTTTCGGGTAGAGCTGTCAATTCGGGTAAACAGGTCGGGTTTGGGTCGTTAAGAGTGGACGGGTCAACTCGGGTCTGGTCAATTCGGATTAATTCCATAACCTATGCAGGCAGGGTTTGGGTTGGGTCATGCTTGAGTCGGGTCATACTTCTTATCGGGTTTGGGTTGGGTTTAGGTCGGGTTAATAACAGGTCGGGTTACATTCGGGTCGGGTGATAATAGGTCGGGTTTAATTCAGGTTTTTACTGGTTCAAACGAGTTAGGGTAATTCTCGGGTTACATTCGGGTCGGGTCATCTCCGGGTCAATTCATGTTCGGGTCTTACATACTCGGGTCAACTCGGGTCCAGGGTTGGTTTAAGGTTGGGTTTGGATCATCATTTTTTTGGGTTCAGATGGGTCGGTTAATAATCGGGTTTAAGTCGGTATTTCGGATTGGGTCAACTTTTGACAGCTGTAGTTATGCCTATCAAAATTAGTAGTATAAGACTGTACTATTACAAGCATATTTTATTTTGAAGCAATAGTTATTAATGTCATACTAAAATGCTTGTTTAATTCTCACATTTCATTTAAATTGTTGCATGTGCTAATTCTTTTTCTTACGACAACAATGTTTATTTTTAGAATTGGAGGGTTAACGCAAATCACATGCAGTTTTTTAGGAACGCTTTTTAATATAACTAGTTTAAGTCCCGTGCAATGTACAGTTTTTACTTAGCATATTTATAAATTATAATGTTAATTTAACAATACTTAATTAAAAATAAAAATCAATATTTTTAATTGAAACAAATACTTGATTTTCTTTTCCATAAAATACCTATTATAAAATATTTTATGTCAAAATATTTTCATTGAATGCATGTAGAATATACTTTATATATAGTTGTCAAATTGAAAGTTAAATATTATTATAGGATATTATAAAATAATGTTCATAAATATTTGTTAAAAAAAGGAAAGTAAAAGTGGCGGGAATTTTTTTAATCAAAACCTGACAAATGTCATACTAGATTCGCCTTGAGTATAATGTATAATTGATACGGAGTACTTCATACAGAGTAATAAATATAGATTTGGAAAGAAAATAGAAAGTAAATTATTGCTTACCCTGCTCTTTGTGTTCTTTCCAATTGTATATATGTCTTCAATTCTTCTGTTTGAATTTAAAATAAATGCAGCTAATAATACAATTATACAAAAGTGGCAACATGATGAGATTGCAGTATTTAATCTTGGTTCATGCATTCCTCTTGGAAAAAAAAACAAATCTTGGTTCATGCATGAAGTATCAACCTCAAATGAATTAAAAGGGCAAAAATCAAAACTTAACTTTTACTATATGATTTGTATTTGATTTAGTAACCAAAAGTAGTTGTATAAGTTGTATTTAGACTACTAATATAATTAATCTATAATCTGCCATAATCAGTATAAAATGAAATTAATAATCCGTTCAGATTATACAATTAAAATTATATCAATACTGATATATATATATATATATATATATATATATATATATATATATATATATATATATATATATATATAATTCTTGTAATTGGAGTATATATAGATGAAAACAACTAGCTAGTAATAAGCTAAGTGAAATAATAATCATAAGGGAAAACCTTAATACATTGTCTATACAATTCTTCGTTTCTACTTGTTTTTGACAAGTATGGTGAGTTAATTCTTGCATATATTTTCTATTTACCTCACAAATTAGCTAAATTTTATTTTTCTTTATTGATGTTCCTTATTAATGAATTATTATGTATGTGCTTGTTTTGTGTGTTTCTTTGTTCTTTATAGGTCATGCTTAACTAGTTTTTTTTTTTTTTTTTTTTTGATAAATCATGCTTAACTAGTTAATTGTGTAATTTATATGATTATTGTGTTAATTGTGTAATTTGTGACTCGTATTGATCGATGATTGTGTGTTTTGGATTATAATAAACAATTTCATTTCATATAATTAATATTCTTTGATTGCAGGGTAGTAAAATCATTTTCGCGGTTTCTTGCCTAGCATTTCTCAGTTGTTTAAGCCACACTACAATGGCACAATCAATTGTTGTTGCACCAAAAACACCACAAGAGAAAAATGATTTTAATGTGATGGATTATGGCGCGGTTGGTGATGGCAAAATTGATGATTCTAAAGTATAATTATTTTTCGAAATTTCCATGAACAAATAGATTATAATTATAATTTTATTAATATTATACCAAATTAATTTATCAATTATTTTGGTGTTTTGAAGGCTTTTCTTAAAGCATGGACAGATGTATGTGGAAGCAACGGAGAAAACCAAGTTTTGGTAGTGCCACAAGGAAAAGAATTTCTATTAAGCCCGTTAACATTTTCTGGTCCATGTAAATCGTCACATATTCAGATTTCGGTACGTTTATATTCTTATTTCTTACCTAATTTAAATTTAATAATTTTAATTTGTGATATATTTTCTATATATGAATAATTTGACGGTTAAATGCATGCTTAAAAATACTAATTTCTCTTAATTTCGTTAAAAATTAAGGTACAAGGAAATCTGGTAGCTCCCAATACTAGTGATTTATGGACTAAATGCGAAGAAAATTCGTGGATTCTGTTTAAAAATGTACAAGGTCTCGGAATCATTGGATCGGGCAAAATCGACGGCCAAGGATCACTCTGGTGGAATAAACCACTAATTGTTGTACACTTTAACTACTTAATTATATTTTTTTATTTTTACAAAACTACAAATTAAATTTGATCATATCAATTAACATGATTTCTATTATTTTATTTCGTGTTTCAGACTAATGGTTGCACTCAGCCTATGGTACGATTTTTAGCTTTATTTTTATTCTTTTGACGAGTACATAGAATTAGATTTTTTTTTTTAATGATAAAAACAATTTAATTTAGTTGTAACAAAATGTTACTTTTTTTTTAATTAATTAATTTATTTACAGGCATTAAGATTTCATAGTTGTAATGGGCTCCAACTTAGAGGCTTAACACATTTGAATAGTGGCAAACAACATATAAGTATAGCTAATGCCAAATTTGTGGAATTATCACACTTAAATATAATAGCTCCGAGGGATAGTCCTAACACAGACGGAATTAACATTGCTAATGTTACTAATGTTTTTATTCATGACACCATCATTGGCACAGGTAATAAATTTTTTTTTTATTATTTTTTTAATTTTATTTTATTTTTCCGAATTATGTAAGGTGATTTTAAAATTGATTTTGAAAATTTATGTTGATTTTTTTTAATTCAAATGAAATTATGTAGGTGACGATTGCATTGCAATAAAGGGTGAATCATTTTTGGTCAATATTACAAGGGTTACATGTGGGCCAGGTCATGGCATAAGGTATTGTAATCAATTCACAGGTTATAATCCAGAATTTATGAGGATTTAATTTAATTAATTTCAGGATATTTATTTTTACGTTTTGGAATTTCATCTTTAATTCATAACAAATTCTTCAATTGTTATGAACATAACTAATTAATGCCAATTCAGAAGAAAAAAAAAATAAAAAATTAACGTGTCTAAGAAAAATTTATTCCAATTTATCAATACCTTATCCATGCACTAAGGTATACTTATATTATAGCTTGATTTTCTTAATTTTTTTTAAAAATCTTCAAAATCGCGTGTTAATTCTTATAAAATTTCATATAGTATTGGAAGCTTAGGAAACGATGGAGACAATGATGTAGTAGAGCAGGTACTTGTGAAGGATTGTACATTCAATGGATCAACAAATGGAGCCAGGATTAAGACGTACCAGGTGATTAATTTAAATAACATCTCAATTTTACTATAATATGTACAAGTTATTATTGATCACATCAGATTATCGATAGATATCCTTATTATTTTTTGGTTTAAATGATTCACAAGGACATTACAAATACATAGCGAATCCTTTTATTAGATTATGTACTGTAATGGCATATTCTTAATTTGCAGGGTGGATTAGGACATGTAAGTGGCGTCACTTTTCAAGGAATAAAACTCATTAACACTACAAACCCCATAAATATCGATCAATTCTATTGTGTTAACCGGGATTCATGCCCAATCACGGTAAATATTTGCATATATATAATTGTTGTTTTTTATTTGTTTAAATTTCACAATTGTTTTTAATATAAGCTCATCAAAAACAATTTCACATTGTTAGCTTAATATTGTGCACCATAAATCACAATTATTTTCATATGATAAGTCATAAGTAATACGTAGTACTTCGTATAAATGTTGTTCGTTGTTGTCCATAAACACACGTATTACTTATGTTATCCTAAGGTCTAAAGTTTCAATAATGTGGCCGGATTAGAAATTTTGACAAATATAATCACAATAATAATTTATGTCTTTTTTTATTTTTTGAAGAAACGTGCCGTGCAAGTAAGCGATGTGACGTTTCGTGGGTTCCAAGGTACATCAGCAAACTCAGAAGCAATATCACTACGTTGTAGCGCAAGTGTGGCATGCACAAACATAGAACTTGAAAATATCAAAATAACACCCTTTAAAGATGGACTAAACCTAACTACAAATTGTGAAAATGTTCGTGGAACAATTTTGCCTCCTGTAACACCAGATCTTAGTACTTGTCTTTCCAAATGATCCACTAGATTGTTGTACTCGTATATATTTACGTTTCTCATCAATTTTTATTGTTTTTAATAAAATATTTCCTCATATTATTTTCACCATTTTGTACGGTTCACATACATTTTTGTTATGATTATTGTGAGATCATTTATATATGTGATTTGAAAATAACAAAGGAGGTATATACCGTATAAGTGTATGACAATAACAAAAAAAAATTAAGCTACTTCCTACTTGTTCACAATTAGTTTTTTTTTTTTTTTTTTTTTTTTTTATTATTTTTTTTTTAATTTACTCATATTTCTTAAGTTAATTTTTTAGAATTTCGTTTAAAGTTCTTAAAATTTTTTAGTAAGTTAGTTTTATTTCATTTTTGCATCACTTACTTTTATTTTAAGTGAATCATTAACTTTCTCTTTTCTATAATATTTAATCCCCCAAACAAATCTCACTTACTCCCTCCGTTACGTATTACTCGCAACAAAGGAATATTTTATATCTCACAAATAATACCCCTTTGTTACGAGTAATAAGTAACGGAGAGAGTATATATTGTTTTAACTTTTAAGAAATTTATAAGAAATTAAATACAAAATCATGAAGTTAGCTTGTTACACTAAAAAAAAGGGAGTAATTTTAAGAAATTTATAAGAAATTAAACTGAACAGTACGTGACATGCTATATTACAGACTTTCAGCCCAAAAGATAAAGCTTCCACTTCGAGTATTTCTACCCTTTTGCTAGGAGATTTGTCTAGTGTTCTAATTTTTTTTTTTTTTTTTTTTTTTGAATAGCAGTCTAGTGTTCTAATTAGGGTTAGTTGTGCAAAGCCATTCGAAAATCTGATCCGAAAATTAGGATACCAATTCGAACTGATATGATATGAGTTTTGCATTGATTAACTGGTCCAAAAATTAGTTGTAGGGTGCCATTATGATACATTATTCTAAAGGTTGAGAACTTATACTGTACATCCGGGTGTACCGTACACTAAGATAATGCAAATTTTAATGAGTAAATAACCCGGGTGTACGGCACACCCGGGTGTATATAATAAATTTTACTATAGTTTTGGGTATTCAATAACCAATATATATGTATGAATCCGATATTCATTATTTATTCCTGATAAAGTAAACACATGTTTTGAGAAGTTTTTATTTTTAGATAGATGTTGAGTTTAATTTGGTGTGACCAAAATTTCTACATTATCTGTTTGTCAAGAAAAAAAAAATTATTTCTAGCCTCATGGCTATTAAAATAATATTTAGAGTTGAAACTTCATAGTCTCCAAAAGTTCTTTAATGACTTTCTTAAGCATCATAATAACCTAATCTCTGACAAGGGCTCCATATATATGACTTCTTTAAGATAAAGCATAACCTAATCTCTAAGAAAGTTATTACAGAATAATCAAGTGATGACATCCAAAAACATACCACACCCTTTTGATCATCAATTAGGCAAAAAATTATTCTCTTCTAGTATTTCCTTCGTTTTTATCAGGCTGTCACATTTCTCTAATCACATTCGTCAATACACTGATTCTACCATTATTAATTATCGATAAGTACAATTATACAAGTATAACATGATATATATATTTAAATATCGAGATAAATTAAATAAGATCACACATCATATTATGTTAATTTTTTGTTAAATGTTGACGACTAAAAGAAATGGAAGAAGTAGTACTCTTTATAATTAAAATTGATATTTAACTTAAGGGTGAGACTAATAAAATTGATATTATATCTAAAGGGTGAGACGAATAACGGAACTTTTGACTATATACAACTATACAAGTACAAGTATATGATATCTATGTATTTGATGACCTTGACATCAAATCAACTGTAAGTCAAACATATATTAAAAAATAATCAATAGATGTTGATTGAATAATTAATAAGTAGATTAGAGATGAGATTATGTAAAGTTTCTTATAACCTTTTGTACATTAAGTTGCCGGCGAAGTTCCTATCAAAAAGAAAAGAAAAGGAGGGAGGTTTAGAAATTAGGTAGGGAAAAGTTCAAATGTGATTAATAAGTCTACTTTGAGCATAAACACAAATATAATAATCGTTAATCCGGCTTGTATATGCTTATATGCTATAGCATATGAATTAAAAACAAATGATATAAGATTTCAAAGAATCACTAGGAACAATGACATAGAACTGTAGAAGAGATTTAATTTCAGGAATACCACCTTAAAACGTACTTTATCATGCACGATAATAAGACAATTATATTTCGAGTAGAGTAAGGAATAATACAGCAAATCTTGTACGAACTATATAAGACATGCATTACCTAATACTTGTTACTGTAACATATAAACTGTTGAAGATTTCGATTAATTATAAATTTATAATCATTGTTAGGCTGAAACAATGTTGGAAAAACAGCAAAATGTGGACCACTTTGTTTAAGAATATTTTACTGCATGCTTAGGAAGTAGGAAGTATTCATGTATGTCAAACACCATTAAGGATGATCAAAGACAATTTCATAAGACAGGACAAACAATAAGAATATTCTTAAATTAAGGGATTTTTGCTCTGAAATAGCTGCTTTTTTTTTTTTTTTTTTAATTTTTTTTTTTTTGGGGGGGGGGGTGGAGGTTGAGGGAAAGATGCATAGATTAATTAGCAGAACCAAAGTAAAGAGGAATGAGTAGGTTAAGTTGATTAGGACACAATATGTACTTAATATCCTACACTAGTAAGGGCTTGTTCTCATACGTTTATTTTCAGTTCAGTTCAATTCAGTTTAGCTCCTAATTTTCTTCTCTTATAAAATATTCAATTCAGTTCAGTTCAGCTCAGCTCAGTTCAGTTGAACTAAGCTCAGTTCAGTTGAACTAAGCTCAGTTCAGCTAAGTTCAATCTATGAGAACAGGCCCTAACACTACTAGAAATCTGCACAATGTTCACCCTAAGAGTATATATATTGTAGAACACATATAATACTTCGTAACCTATAAATATAGTATGGTTTACACTTTAAACTAAAATGTACGATGAAAACCTTGACTAAAGATGTGTGTTAAGACTAAGCAAATTAGTTTTCCTCGTCTGTTAGATAATTCTCCTAAGGCCAGTGTAACCTTAATTACTTGCTGGCCCCAAAGCATTATATTAGGGCCTAAAATTATCAAAATTAAGTTTCATGTGCAGGAAATTAAATTAAATAGCCCTTAGAGACTTAGATATTGTCTTAGAACTGTTGTATGATGTTACCAAGAGCTAATTTTCGCTAGAGAATTGAAGATAAGCATAGGATTAAAAAAATAATAATAATGTAATTATTGGAATTTGAAAGCACTGTTAATGGTGATTGTGCAATGCTAATCACTAATTAAAAAGGTACTTTTGCATTCAAAATTTAGAAATTACTTTTGTCAAAAAAAAAAAAAAAAAAAAAGAGTTTAAAACGTGATTACAAGACTTTAATTATACCTTCCACTATAGCTACAAGTGCGGGAAAAAAAATGTTACTTAAGATTCGTGTAAAACCCATATTTGTTATACTGTCATATTCATTTCTCAAGTTAATCCTGATTCCAAAGGATTTTTTCTACAACATATATAAAATAAACTTATAACTTATACCTAAGCTTTTGCACTAATTTCTTGATTCTTACTCCATCTGTTTCTATGTTTTATGGCTCCGTTGTATCAAATTCATTATTTATTTGAAAATTTTGATCGCAAATCCTCACTAATTTCAAAGCGTATTTTGTTATGTTAATACTTGTACACTAGAATATATGTTGTACACATGTGACTATGTGAGTTATCTCACTATATTAGAATTGGAGAAAAAAGCTCTACAAGCTTGAATACCTAATTGGTTTTGATATAGAATTTCACAAGAGCTTGTAACTTGTCCAATTCCCCAAAGTTATAATTAGCCTTTAGTCATACGAGTACTTTTTTTTTTTTTTGAAAGATTAGGCCAAACTAGTTACTCCGTAACATTCACATCTTCTAATCATAATCTAAAACTTAACCCTTATACTTTATGCAAGAATTGTTGTAGTCAATTTTTCAAAAGAGGTGTGTGTATTGCGTAAAATGTTAATTGTATGATGTCCTTACATATAATACCATTAGAAATTTGACTCATCATCAAAAGAGGGGAGAAAACTAGGATTCAAATATAAATTGAAATCAAATGGAACTTGGGCCCATAATTCTAGCCAATAAAAACATAACAATTTAAAGTTGAATGTAAAAATCACATACAACAATTGGATGTGTAGGCGTGTGTATCCTTTACCTGAACGTAGTATTGCAATTGCAACATTGTATGACGAGTTACATTTCCTAAACTTCAGCTGAAATGCATTTAATTGGGCTACTATTCCTTTCTCCCAAGTCTCCCATTGGCGGTCGCGCCTTTTGTGGCCCACACTCATGGCAAAATTATGTTTTTGCGATCTTCTCTACTTCCAAAATGGCATCCATCAATTTTATTATTTTTATTTTTTTAATTTTTGTATAGGATCTTGCTAACGAACACTCCCGATATTGGATAAATATTTAAAATATCACCTAAAGTGGTATTAATTTAGAAAAATATGATAAAATCACGCATCGATCGGTGTAATTAATGTTAATTTTTAATTTAATCTTTCTGCTTTTAACTAGCTTATCTACGGGTCAAAAAAAAAAACTAGCTTATCTAACGCCCTTGTTAGCTTTTGCCTTTTTAATATACTCCTACTTCGTATAATTGTATTTTTATCATTCATTTTATATTACTTATGTTCCATATTGTTTACAATAAAAAAATAAAATTTATATTTCACAAATAATATGAAAAAGGAGGCCGTACTTAATCACATATTTATAGAATTACAGTGTTTACTAAAGATGTCTAAAAATAATAAATCGATCTTACACAAATATTTTCTCATTATTTATACAAATTTTCACACTAGTATACGAACTTATAGTTTAACATAATTCCATTAATGGATATTTTTTGTTTTTTTTCT